CCTGATTCTACCATCGGCTCGATCTACAAATTCGTCCGGCCGCTTCGAACGACAGCTTCGAATTTAGTATATATACGCGTAACCGAAATCTTATACTCGTCTTCGTCCAATTTCGAGTGCTTCGCGTCGACGTTGAAGGTCAACTTGAGGATTAGTCATAACGTCAAAGGCATTCCCAGCTGAATTCTGGGACAGTCCGCCGCCGCAAAGAGGTTTCTCTCCGTGATCTCCGGAGCGGAGTCGCGCGAGGTTTTCATCATGGTCTCGTATTTCCCATTAAGTCGCGAATGCGCGACTAATCTTCGCGTACGTGCTTCGTCGCGAGGAGCGATTTTTCCGAAGTTCTCGCGCGCGTTTCCCATGGCAAGGACATCGCGAACGCAGCGAGAGGGCAGTCAGGGAGACAGAGACACACACACAGAGAGAGAGAGAGAGAGAGAGAGAGAGAGAGAGAGAGAGAGAGAGCGGGAGAGGGACACGTAATAATAACGATACGCGAATCGAGGATAACCAAGAGAGCCACGGTGAACGGCGGTTGTAATTAGGGACGCCCGTCTAACCGCGAAATTTCGTGATCTTATTAAATCCAGAAGGACGCTGGCGCGGCGCACGGGAGCGCGTCCGGGGAGAAAAAGGGAAAGGCTAAATTATTATTACTCGCGAGGGGCCCCAAGAGAGATGGCCGAGGTGCCTCCTCGTCCTCCACCTTTACACGACGGTGTGCGTTTCGCTCGCTCGCGCGCGCCGTCCGTACTATCGTGCAATGCACGCACATATGTACTCGTAAAGACTATCGCGCGCTCGGTTGATCAGAAGTGACGCAAAGATCACGGGAATAGATGAAACATTTAAATCGTTGAGCAAAACGGTCACGATGAAAGATTGTGCAAATTTGAGAGATCTAGGACTTTTACTTTGGCACGAGTCCAACGCGATGTAGCCTGTTTCTAAATTTTGGTAAATTTTACACAAGAATGTCGCGTGCAATATGACTTGAGAATACACGAAACAGAGATATATTTGCTCAATGCGCGACTTCTGACGCGGTACTCGATGACGTTGGTAAAGCAACGATTACGCGATCAACGAGAACAGGCCGAGTCTGAGCTCGCAGCCGAAATAGTCGGGCGCGCGATATTCGGCGCGATACACGTCCGGCTAGTTTCCTTTGACTGACACTTCGACTACCGACCTCATCCGCGGGAACAACGGCCCGTCGTCGTACGGCCGCGAGTCGGCTTAGCGGGCAGAATCACGCTTCGCGCTTGCGCCCGCGCGATATTGCCGTTCGCGACGCGAGCTTGTTTTTCGTGAGAAGCAGCTGATAGGTGCGCGCTTTCATACGCGGCGTTTCATTGAAAACGAAGCCGAGCCGCCTGGTAGCAGGTACGAATTACCGTCTGCAACTATGTTCGCCAGAGTAGTCATTAGCGCACGACAACGGGTAATCAGAGAGTACCGCGGCTGTATAGAACCGCGGGCGCGTCTTCTAGTTACGTTTCCTCCAATAAGCCGGAGGAGTGCGGCCCGTCAAAATGATTTGACGACGTGAGCACCGCTCGCAATTACCGCGGCTGATACTCCGCTGCACGATGAAAATCCTTCTGGCCGATTAATCAGCGGTTAAACATTCTTCGATTATTCGAGCCGTCGATGATCGCGTCCGCCCTCGCCTGATGAACTCTCGATTGATCTTGTTTCGCATCGCAAATTTCACATCGAGAGCTTGGCACGGACCATTTTGCAAAACGGCATTGGAGAAAAGGAGAGACACGGAGAGAGCGATCGGTATCTTTAGCCTTTAATTAGCTTAGGTTTGTATCGACTTGTACGACTCGCGGCTCGTAAATCGAATTCCAAAGAGGCAAACTGTCATAATATTGTTCTCCGGCTAATCGTTCTTGAAATTATACCTCGCCGATAGGATTTGCGATTTTTCAATCTTGCGAAACGGCACAATTTTCAAGCCACGAGTAGCATTCGAGACGCTTCTCACTCTCGGGCTTCTCCTCCTTCAGCTCTGACAGAATCGGTCGGAAGCGCGCGAGGTGGAGCGAATGCGCAGACGATGAGCACGAGCGATGATAAAAATCGATGCGACGCGAGCCGGGCGAACCCGTGGACCGCGCGGGCCGGTTCGGGCGCGATTTCGGACTCACCCTGAGAGAGAGAGAGAGAGAGAGAGAGAGGGAGAGAGAGAGAGAGAGAGAGAGAGACCCCTGTAATTTCGGGTGGCCACCGTCTGAAGAGCGAAATGCGCCTAAACACGAAATCCGGGCCGATCGTACAGAAGCGGAGCTTCTGTGCGCGGCGTAATCACCGAGATTTCTTCGCGATTTCGTGGAACATCTGGGCAATTTGCCTGCGAGATGAGGAGCCCCACGGGGTGTCTCACTGGCCGAATCGAGGTCTTTCCTTTTTTCTCCCCTCCCCCCTCCCCGCGCTGCCTCTCCCTCTTCTCTCTTACCCCTTTACAACCGGCCCATCAGCCGAGAGATCGCGCACGACCGCCGTTGTTGCTCGCTGTTTATCGTACGCAACAACAGCGAAAATCGCCAATATTTCCGGAGGGGGAGGGGGCAAATTTAAACTCCGAAATGCAGGTCGACGCGCGCGCGCGCGCGCGCGGCCGATATACCGAATGCATAACGCGATTCGTCCGTGATTCACGCCTCGCCGTATCCGCCGCGTAATGATTCGTTCGCGAGCCCGCCGTTCTCGCCTCGTTCTCGGGAAAGAAGCCGGCGATGCGTTCGCATAATTTCCGGTGAAATCACGCGAGGGAACGGCGACTTTATACGAGCTATTATCGAAGCATCCCGCGCGAGCCGCGCCGATCGGCATAACCAACGAGTCGGAAGAAGTCGAGTCATCTTGCGGCGAACGCGAAGTCAATGACTATCAATTTCCCGTCATTCGCGAAAAATCGCCGCGACTAGGCCTGCGCGTAATCGACACCTCGAAGAATCGGCGGCGTCTATCGGCGCGCACTCGTTACTCCGTTCTCTTCGTCTGTGCCGTCAGAAAAAGAGACGTCTGTCGCGTCTCTGTCGCGTGTAGACAGACAGACAGAAAATGTGGCGGAACGTGACACTTTTTGATCCTTAATGCGTACCTGCGCGCCTCCGATAAGCAGCGTCGAAATTATCGTGGCTTCGGATTACAGGTTGCGCCGCGTTTATAAATTAATTCCTCGGCACACATTAAAACATCCTCCATCCTTCTTAATCAGCGGCCTGCAGCGGTCGCGGTCTCAGACATCTGGACCACGACGACGACGACGACGACGACGACGACGATGCGGCCGAGAACAGAACGCAAGCGCACGCGCTCTTACGCACGAGACGCAGGAGGCGTATGTGCGTACGTGCTCGCTCGCTCGCTCGCTCGCTCGCTCGCTCGCGAAAAAGTGTCACGCGGCGCACACGACACAGACAGACTTCGTGTTATATGCGCCCGCGAGCGAAGGATGCGAAACTCGATCGAGCGTAAAGGAAACGACCTGTATCGCGGTATGACAAGATATCGACGTTATGTAAAATCTCACGAGCTAATAATTATTTGCCATTATCGTGCGAGCGCAGGTCCGGTCAATTAGTCACGGATAATCGTATTCGTAATACGCCGGGAACGGGACACGGTTGTGTGTTCGCGCGCGCGCGCGCATGTGTGTGTGTGTGTGTGTGTGTGTGTCGCGTGTGTTTGTGCGTATAATCGCGCCAACGCGTATAGTCGCCTATATAAAACAAGATTCTATCCGCGTCGTGGCGGTGCGCGCGAGCGCGGATAGATTCTGGTCTTCGTCTTCGTAATAGATATTAATAGCTCTCGTCACGATGGCTCGTGCAGGTAGCAATCGAACGGAAAATCACACATAATGCCGCGAGATGCATAATGCAATTAATCCCCATCGTGCGTCGTTACGCTGACTAATCTGCTTCGGATGCAAAACTAATTAAGGTAATGAACACGCGCGTTTTTACGAGGCGGTGAGAGGGAGGGACAGGGGAAGAGAGAGAGAGAGAGAGAGAGAGAGAGAGAAAGAGAGAGAGAGAGGAGAGGGAAAGAGAGAGAGACCAGCGATTTCGCAGAACGGTTTCTGCGATTTTCTCACGGATGCAATACGAGGTCAGACCGTAACACCGCTATTTCCCCGACGCTATTAAAAGACAACTAAACGCGTTTTTTCTCCCTTTCTCTCTTTCCCCCACTCTCTCTCTTTTTTCGCTAAATTACATTGCGTTCCTCCATAATAAATCGCGTGCTACAAGGGGAATAATAATTATACTTGCAATCACATCCATGCACACACACTCACACACACACACATACACACACACACACACACACACTTGTCCCATTGGGCGTCCAAACGTTTAGATATGCATTTGATTGCGTCGCATAAAGGGGATGCAGGGTGAATGGATAAAAGGCAGGGGGAAGGGAGGCGAAAATGACAACCATTAATACCGCGAAACCTATACATAAGTTTTCTGTGTGCGTGTGTAACAACGACGCGACACGCGAGCCAACAGACGTTATCAACGAGAAGTAATTGAGACGATAAAGGAGCGTCGATAAAATTAATCAACAATCAAACGAAGCGAACGCGGAGAATTGCGAGGCGCGAGTGCAGCGTGAAAGTGAAACGATCGAGGCTATCGATTAAACGGGAGACAGCACGATAATTTGCTAACGATCGAATCGACGACTTGAAGGAGGATAAAAATCGACAAATTAAGCGACATTAAAAAGTGACGCGCTTGCTAATCCCGCCGTTGCCATTTGGCGTCGATGCGATGTTTCCGCGCGCAGTAGCGCTTGAGTGCTTCACCTGGGACTCTCCGACGCGCTCACGCGATTACGTTACATGACTCCGTTAATCGGGCCTTATCGCAATAGCAGAATCGGATAACTCGCATGCGCAAATAGGCCCGCGGCTACGCGCGGCCTTGCCTCCCTTTTCTCGCGCTAACGACCGCCTTCCTTTTTGTTTTTAGGGAGGAGCTCGCCATGAAGATCGGCCTGACGGAGGCACGGATACAGGTCAGTGGAGACTCGTGCCGCGATCTCGCGCAAACTGAGCGGCGGATAATGGCTGCGTTCAGAAGAACAAAATGATTAGTGAACACTTAGTGATTCTCGCTCCTGATTGGTAAATACTTCTGGGTCTATGAAGAATCTAAAAGAATGCTCCAATCACGGACGATAATCACACCAAGCGCTCACTGATCACTTTGTTCTGCTGAACGCAGCCAAATGGCATCGCTAAGCTCACTCTGCGAACGGCTGCCGATCGCCGATGCGGCCCTTAAACGGGCACGATGGAATTTTCCCGTCGTTGCCGACGGATCCCCCGATGTATCTTGCTCGCGCGCTGCCGATTGTTTCTAGCTTGGTCCCTCGGTTGTTCCCTCCGTCCAAACGCATATGGCATATGGAGGCCCAATGAGGCGAATACGATTGGGTGATTGAGCGTAATTAAAGCCGACAAGGAAACGGAACGCTAATGGGACTCGCGAGTTTGCTCAAACTTGAAAATTGCCGGGGCCGGGTGTAAAACTGTGCGGCACAGTGCCTCTTGAACGGATAAAAAAGATAGAGGGCGAGGGGCGGAGGGAGAGAAACGCCGCCGTCCGAATTAAAAAATAATGTGAGCATGTCGAACGTTAATAAAATTGATTACAAGTTACCTCTAATTGCGTATATTGGCACGTCGTGGCGTAACTTGGAAATCACTTTGATAATAAGCGGCTGCGCGCGTCAAACTCGGCCGGCTAGAAAAATGAGGTAATAATGGGCGATAATAACGTGGTTAACCGTTCTTCTTTGGCGCGAAGGTGAAAATAACGCGCGTCTCTTGCGTAACGACAATTATCCTGCATCCTCTGACATTTCGTTTAGATAATAGTTTTCGAAGCTCGTGAGCGCTCGCTCGCGCTCGCGCGCACGAGTTTGCGAAGAATTACTTAGGAATTACTTAAGTTCCCTCTCTCTCTCTTTCTCTCTCTCTCTCTCTCTCTTTCTCTCTCTCTCTCTCTCTCTCTGTCTTTTTCTCGCTCGCTTGCTCTCTCTACGCAGCCACAAATTCCCGAGCGGTAATTAGCGTATCTGTATATGCGAAGAAACGTAGCAAAATGCGGTACTCTTCGTGCAGCATGACAATGGCCGATCGAGCGTTCTTTTAATTATTAGCACATGTTTTTTCCAAATGCACGTTCATTATTAACTTGGGAGGAAAAAACGAGAAGGCCATTCTAACAGGCCAGAAATAGGCCTGTTAGAAATTAATTCTCGTTGTCACTGAAACATTACAGATATAAGTGAGCAGCCGTTTGCGATGAAAATACGACTGTTGCCAAGCGTTAATTACTGCCGTTGGCAAATATCAACTATGACGTCCAGTTGCGCGCGCGACCATTCGCGATTAGCATTAATTGTTTGTTCGACTTGTGAGAGACGAGAACTCGCGGCAGCGGGCTGATGCGTTACGCGAAATAAACAACAACATAACAACATAATATTGCGGCGACCGATAATAAACGTGAAAGGTTGTATTCTCACTTCGCAATAATATCGTGATTGAATAGTATCGTAAATCAAGCATTAGAAGTTTCCTCGATCAATCAACGCTAGAGGCGCGCGTGTACCATCCATCGTTAAACTATAACGTAGTGCTCGCTCTTACATTGAGAGACGGTAATCACGCGACACGAATTCATTTGAATATTTTAATATCAATCAAAGTTGGATTAATGCTCAATTCCCATCTGTTTTTATCGCGCTCGATTATATTATTGCTGTCCGATGACCAAGGTGAAGCCTCTTCCCCGCCTCGTTTGCTATTCGCGGCTACACGTGTGCATAGAATCGCAAAAAGAGACAGAAAAACGAAGAGGTAAAAAAGAAAATGGAGCAGGAAATGCCGTGCGAAACATCATTAAGACTCGTCGCGTAAATAGCTATAGCTGTGATTTAATATCGCATGATTATTGAATAATTACAATTACAGCTGCGGAAACGTTGATAGATTTTATAATACATGTGTACTACATAATGATATCTCATTATAATCAATGACAGCTCAAGTATTTCTATGAAAACGACACGTGCACGGCCTGTTTGACTCTACAATTTTAACTGAAATATTATCATTCTTCGTGAGCAATTCTCTGATTTAACGAGAGAGAGAGAGAGAGAGAGAGAGAGAGATTTAAAAATTCACACGACGTGCTCAACACGGTGAGATATATGGTGATGATAAAAAGAGAGAGAGTGCTGATTCGGTTATCAGTAACGTCCGTCTCCATAGCCATTTGCTTTTCGCGTAGGGCCAGAAGCACGCGCGTCTAGCTTCCTCAAGTTCCGCGTATACGCGGATTATTTTTTGTTCTCGCTCGCTCGCTCGCTCGTTCGCTTGCGAAGGGATGCGGGCGTCACACACATTTTCTGCGTGACGACGCTGGGCCTCCTTGCCCGGCCATGGTGAGCGTGTCCGAGTGCCATAGTTGCGTGAACAGCTGGCTAATTTGCTCAATTAGTTTAATTTATTCCCGGTACTTACTTATTCTCTTTTTCTTTCCCCCGCGCGTGTTCCACCTCTCGCTCGGCATCCTCCGACCCTCTCAATTCCTTGCTCTCGGACACGCACACGCACGCTCGTCCCTGCGTGCCCGATCTTCTCCTCGCACCACCGCGAGGAGACGTACACGCTTTAACGTTAACCTGGCACTTTTCATTATACTTGCAAATACGTCACCGTCCGCGGCAAATTGGCGATTTACCGACCGACCGACGCGCACGCGATGAGAACCACTGCTCCGTCTCTCGCTGTGAAGAATGACGTACTGAACTCTTCGCGGTGGCGTTAATAATTTTCAGGAATTCCTGAACCTGTGTAAGAGAGATCTTACGCGTTCTCTCTCTCTCTCTCTCTCTCTCTCTCTCTCTCTCTTCTTGCTCGTCGCGACGGCGAGCGAGCGAGCGGACGAGCGACCATCTTCGAGAAGCTGCGGCGTGTCCCTTCTTCGATAGGTGTCAATTGCCTCTACGCTCGTAACGAAGCGAGATTACATGTGTTGGTTTACGGAATCGTTTCGAGGAATTGGGCGCGGTTATTCAATCGCGCGCGGTGCCTTTAACCCTTTAACGATCGGCTAACTTTACTACGAGGCTCGAAATTGAGAGTTTTCTGGGCTGAATTCGGCAGGATCGCGAGGTTCCCTCGCGGCCTCGCGATTTCAAGTATCTATTAGGTATGCCCGCATCGGGATCAACTCCGCGCTCTGGATTCACCAGAAGGTTTTCTATCGCCTCTACCTGCGACTCTCGTTGCAACGTCGAGTATCGCGTTTCGCGCTCTGCAATCGAGTTTTCCTGTTTTCATTTTCTTAGCGGACTCTCTCGTTGCGGGACGCGATAAGTTTATTGGCAGTAATTTACCGGCAATCATTACGAGGCCGTTTACGAACGATGTAAGGAGCGACTTAAGTGATCGGCCACAAACTTCCGCTCGCTCGTCTTAACGCGCGAAAATTAGCTTGTCGGGCGATTTGGGCGCCATTTGTCCATCAGCCGTCATTAATATGCATGACAAATACGCCATCGCGGAATGAGGTGCGATTTTTTCGACGGTAAAATTTCGCCCGTGCCCATCGACGCGCAGAAATTAGGATACATGACCTATCATCGGCGACCATTAATTATTCATGAGACGCGCGGTATCTTTTGAGGATAAAGTGCCTTCTTCTTTGCGCGGTAAAGCGGCTGGCTCATATTTATAACGCGCGTTTGCCGCTAAACGCACGATAACGCGGAGCGAGTATCAATATGACGGATAATGTTGAAGTGTGAAATTTAAAATCGTCGCGTGTTCACACACGCGCAACGTCAAAATTCAGCACTCGTGATTTCGCGCGCGTGCATAGTAAAGAAAGCAAATGATAAATTAGATTAAGAGCTACGTCCGCCGGATAGCCGCGGATTACCGCGGCTAATCTAATCCGCGCTTGCGGTCTCGCCAAAAATAGAAACGATTTAGAGAAAAGAAGAAAAAAGTAGACTTGTGAGAGCCGGCGAGCAAGCGGAGCTGTTTTACGACAATCGAATTGACTGCATAAACGCAGTGCCAATGTCCGAAGTGGAGAATGCACGCGATCGCCGAATATATCGAGAGTGTTGCTTCTTCTCTTCTCGCGGGTCTGAAAAACCTTACACTTCACGTTCGACTGAAAATAAAACGAAGGGGAAAGAGAGGGGGGGAGGGGAGAGAGGGACGCTCGTTTGCGTATGGAAATACTTCGCGACGCGTCGATCCCTGAGAAAAAAGAGAAACGCTAATTCTCGACCAAACAAATTCTCCCGGCTCTCTCGATTTGACTATTAATCGAGCGCACACATGAACTTCTTTTTCTCGCGGCACTCAATATGAATAATGAACGTTCCGTCTCGCGCAGGCACGTTCGCCGGCCGAGAGCCGTCGCCCGTTCGTATAAATAACAGATTGCTATTAGGCAAAGTGATTATCGGTTGTTGCAGCGTCAACGATTAATTACTTTTACGATCCGCCCGAGTGTGTGACGAGATAATCGACAAGCCGGCCGTACCTCCTCCGCCCGAGCTTCGTGGAATCTCTTGCGCAAAGAGAAACTGGAATATTGTGGATAAAAATATCACCTTTCGCGCTCGACATCTGTCTCTCGCGGGAGAGACGTACACGCGAGACAGTCGCGTTTCTCTGAATCGATTTCGCGGCCGTTGCAAATTCGACGGCCGACGAACGAGGGAAATAAACGTTGTCCCCTGAGCCCCGCCACTCACCCGCACCTACCGCCGCTTCGACGTGTATGTGGGACGTTTTCATCCGCGAGTTCTCATGGGTTTCCTTTGCTTTCTTTCGCCGGCAGCTCGAGGATCATTCGTTCACATTTGCGACTTTACTTCGTGTATCACGTTAATTCATCTGCACGCAGAATATTTGCCTGTTGACGACATTCGCACGTCGCAGGTAGAAAGATGCCGAAGTACGAAATACGAAGTACGAAGTACGAAAAGAAAGAATGTCGGGGAGAGAGAGAGAGAGAGAGAGAGAGAGAGAGAGAGAGAGAGAGAGAGAGAGAGAGAGAGAGGGAGGAGAGAGAACGAGTTTACTTTCTACTAAAATAAAATGTTACTTGTCCAAATATCGCGGCTCCTCTGCGAAACTATTACCTTCAGTGCTTGCAACCTTTCTTATACCGAGACTTCGATTATAGTCGGTAAATCTGAAGGTGCTCGAAGAAGCTACTCGTTCGACGTTCGAGGCAGTACACAACCGTACGAGAACGCGCGAGAGAATCTTCATTGGCTGCGGATAGAGAGAGAGAGAGAGAGAGAGAGAGAGAGAGAGAGAGAGAGAGAGAGAGAGAGAGAGAGAGAAGAGAGAGAGAGAGAGAGAGAGAAAGGGGGGGAGAAAAGGCAAAGCGGAGGAGCCGAAGAAACGAACATACCTGGCGTTCGTGTAATTAATGCGGCACGATTAAGCACGAAACGACTAGGTTCCGGCGGCGACGTGGTTGCGTTTTGTTTTAAAACGCCGAGAGTCGGAGATGTTTAGCGCCCTGCTGGGGGCAATCCTGCTCGCTGTGGGGGGTCCTGGCACCCGGGGCCCCCTTCCTCACCCTATCCTAACGATGCAGCGAGAGAGGCCCCTCTAATCTCCCGTACGTCTAGGCGAGATTCCGTACAGCGGGCGAGCGGCACACGTTCGGCTCGGATGCCTCCTCCGCGTGCGTGCGCGCGCGCGCGCGCGCGAGCGAGCGACGAAAATCGAAATACAAGTATTACGAGGGTTGTAATCGATTATTGCGCAACTGTAAATCTCGCGCTTCGTTCCGCTGCGGCAGCGGAAGAATAATTAATTTAAGCGATAATGTGTCGGGAACGTTAATGTCCAGCTCGTCGATTTATCAATTGTATACGACGTGTAATTAAACGTAACAATTAGCGCGGCGATTTTTAAGCACGGTCCGCTCGTGCGTCGGGGAGAGGGGAATAATCAGCGAGAAGTTTAACGACGAATGATTTAAGCGGCAGTATTTCTTCGCGCAACTGTTGCATACTATCGGTCCCGCCGAAGACGTCTCTATAATCTAATAAGTGTAAGTGTACAATATATCATTGGATTTCCGGTCGAGACGAAAAATCCGCGCGAGATAAATCTGCGAAGATGGAAACGAGCCTCGTGAAAACGGCCTTCGGCCGAAAGTCGCGGCTAATAATACCGATCGACGCTATATTCCATAGCGCCGCCTCTTCAAACGCAGCGAAATCATTTTCTCGACAGCGAGCTACCAGGGATAAAATAGCGTGGAGCCGCCGCTCTCGGCCGGTGGAGCCGATGATCGAGGTGATCATCGAATCGCAGAGTCATCGGGCATATGTCTATCCTCGTCGGCGCGATGACGAGGCCGCACCGTGACGAACCGTATTGGGAGTGTCTACATCTCCCGGCGGTACTTTTGATTCCCAAACCAAACCCGCGACCCGCGATATACGACCGAGAGTGACGCGAGCCGTGGCAATGTGGAACGCGAGCGGAGTCCGCGTCCTATTCGGCGCGGGAATCCCGCGCGACGACCGGGAAAACGAGGCGATACTCTCCTCGGGTACATGGGAAAAACAAGCGAGCCGTGCAAAGACCCGTCTATTACCGAGGTCTCATGAACACGACCGGGAGAATGAGAAGGAGGGACGTCATCTTCGTTGGTACCAGCGTCCACGTTCCTTCTACGTGACGCGCCGCGCGTCAGAAGAATCGACTTGGCGGCGTGTCACGTAGAGAGACGGAGAGTCGGAACTGAATGACGCTGTGTATTATTGCGAGCAGGATCGAAAGACGGATATAATCCGCGGAAACGCCAAGGAAAGGTTGGTGAAAGTTCGCCGACAGTCGTCGACGATTTCATCGCCTCGAGGAAGAGAGAAGGAGAGACGCGAGTCATCTCGCGGACGCAGAATCAGACAATTATTTGACAGACGGCGAAAATTGAATAACGTTAGTAACGTTAACGGCTGAATGACGGGTTGGTAAATATCTCAAACATGATATGTTATTGCGTTAATAAAAGAAACACGAGCACAAATCGGAGAAACCTCTTGCGCAGGGCGCAAGCCCTGCTAACAAGGATAACGAGATCACGCCAAAGTGATCTCGTTATGAGATGCCGAATAGCTTTGAAGAAAGACGAAATGCTAATATAAGCCGCTGCAGTTCAACGTATAAATTGCTAAGAGGGACATTCGGCGAGTGTCTCGACGAGAAAACTTCGCCGAGCAAACGGTGGCGAGCGACCGTTCGCACGATTACCCGACGTAGATTCTCGCTGGGAGTATCGAGAGTCGCGTTGCTCAAGCGGTAACGTGAAACATCTCCCTCACCGGAAACGATAAAAGATCCCAGATAACTTTCAGAATAGATTGCTGCTTCTCTCTCTCCCTCGACAAGTTCTACTCGAACAATCGACATAACGAGCCGCGCGCTCGGAATTCGCGCGCTATGGCCTTTCTGCCGTCGCGAAGAAGAAACACAAAATGATACAAAAATTCCGATGGCCGCCGGAATTGCGGCAGGTGTGCTCGCGCGGAGAGATTGGATAAGTTGGAATAGTTGTTGTCCTACGCTCGTTCATCATTGCAACCTGTCACGAGACGAGTGACAAGAAGCCAGAAAACCTTGCTCACTGCCTCTCTCTTTCTCTCTCGCTCCCTCTCCTCGGCGCGACCTGATATTAAAACGAAATCGACGATACGTTATTTGCGTTCGGTCGGGTCGCGCACGGCATAAAATCGACCCAACAACCGGAGATGGGACGGTGGAGGTAGTATGAAGAAACGATGGAAAAAGAGAAAAGAAGAGAGGGGAGAGAGAGAGAGAGAGAGAGAGAGAAGCGAAGAAGAGCGGACTTCCGCTGAACTGATTAGAGCTCTCGGGGTCTCTTCGGGGAAACCTCGCAATGGAATGGAATGCGCTGGAACCTGGTGGACGCACATCACGAACGACGTTTCGCTCGCGATCGTTATCCAATTTCTATTTAAACGAGAGTATCAGAAGTCGATCTCTCGTCGGTCTCGTGGGCGGGGGGGGGGGGGTTTCCGCTTCTCGACGGCGTGATTTTGCGAATACATTCGAGCGGATGAGAATGAGACAGCGGTACTTTTATATTGTATGGATTGCAAACAACCAAATTAAAGTTCTCAACTGTTCAGTCGTTTCCTAAATAGCGTAGCATTTATTTGCTCTTGTCGCGCTTTCGCACAATCAACGGCGGAAACTAAAGCTGACCTTTTACGTCACAATTTTCTACTTATTTTCATTCACGACTCATAACTTATCATTTTGAGCAACGATTTGTTCATGAATCAATGAATCAATGAATATTACGATTGAGCGATATATCAATGTATGTGCTATCAACGTAATTATGAAAATGGAAGATATTCGTTACGTTAATATACGATTTTGATAAAATGTTATTAGCCGAGCGTCTTGCATAGCCCTTTTTAATTTAGAAAAAATATTATGCATCGCGAGCTGATTCTTATGACCGGCGATATCGATTCCAGGTATTTCAAGTTGCCAGAAACGAAAAGTGGGCCAAAGGATCGCTAACCTAACCTAACGGTTTTACGACAACCGATATTTTGTTAATTTTCGAGGAGAAACGTAAAATTCAGGTAGAGAGACAGACGAGGACAAAAGAGGAAGCTGAGGGCAAGGTAGGCGCGGAGAGGTGGAGAGATCGCGGACGAGAGCAGAGATCTCTGCCTCGCAGCGGTGTTCGGCTTCCTTGGAGCATCGACGGTAATGATACGCTGTTCTCTGCCTTCCTGAAAAAGGGGAGAATGCGTCACTGTAACCGGAATTCGAACTCTCGCGGATCGTCAACAACTTCCAAGGAAGAAAGCATCAATCCACCTTCCGATCCGCAGTCGAAGGAACGACTTTTTTTTCAAACTCACGGGACGATACTGTCAACTTTTACTTGCGCTGTTTGTCTGCACCTCGATAATTGCAAACACAACCGTTCTCTCTCTTGTTCAAATGAGAGAGACTTTAATGACTGTCGATAACACAACCGTATGTTATATCCGAACGATAAAATCATCGATAAATTCATTGAAAAGAAAAACATTCACAGAGGGGACGGAGAGGGGGGAGGGGAGAGGGAGAGATACCGCGAATACACTGACAAAATACAAAAAAACAAATACCCGCATCTCGAAACCGTTTCTTCTTCCGGTCAGTCATCAATGGCAAAGTGCCACTCGAGAGACTGACCGGCCGTCGCGATTGCGCAACGCCAAGGATTCCGAAGGCCGGCGAAAAGAATCCTTCCAGACCTTCGTCCCTCTCCTCGTCCCACTCAGCGCGAGCTCGGCCGCTCGCTTATCGGCCCGCGTTGCCTTCCACGAACGACATGACGATGCCTAATCAAGCCCGTCCGTTCATCGTGTGTTCCAGGTCTGGTTTCAGAACAGACGAGCAAAGTGGCGCAAGCAAGAGAAGGTCGGGCCTCAGGCGCACCCCTACAACCACCCGTACCTGAGCTCAGGTGCGCCACAAACGTCGCCGGTCATGACGCCGACCTTGCCGAACCCTTTCGCCCACCTGGGTACCTTCGCTCTCAGGAAGCCCTTCGACGCCTTTCGCTATCCGCCGCTGGGTCACGGCCCGGTCCTCCCCGGTAGTTACGCCGCGCATCCCTATCATCGCGCACCGCCGCCGCTGCTGCCGCCCGGCATGCCGCTGCCGTATACGTCCGCCGCCTCCTTCCAGAGCTTGCTGGCGAACATATCGGCAGCGCAGAGGCCGAAGCTGGTGCGCGGCTCGCCGCCGCCGTTGCCACCGCCGGCGCCTGCGATCGCCCTGCCGCATCCACCTGTGGCACCACCAGCCCCGCCGCCGCCGCCGCCGCCGCCGCCGCCGCCAACGGCCACCTCTCCGCAAAGCTCGCCCACGGGCAGCGTGGGGCTGCCGGACATCGACAGGAGGACCAACAGCATCGCCTCCCTCAGACTCAAGGCTCGTGAGTACGAGCTGCATCAGGAGATGATGCGTAAGAACGGCGATCTCATCAGTTGAGATGCTGCGTGTGTATCGCGACGTAGCCGCACGCGCGCGCAAGAACGACGGCGAGGGCGAGTCTGTGCCGAACGTCGGCTCGGACGTTCGTGGATCGACGGAACGCGAAGTGCTCTCTGGGAAGTATGTGCCGCTGGGAAGGATGCCGAAGCGAGAGGATGTACACGCCGTGAATGGGTGCTTTTTAGCCGCTCCGAGTCTGTCCGACGCGGCGACGCTCGATTTGGACGGAACTTCCGAATATCCCGCCGAACATACGCGTGCTAGCGAGTGCTAGTGGCCTTTGACCTATTGACGATGTTTACGGGTCATGTAATGTAACGTGTGTCACGTTGGTCATAGCCGACGACGTGAGAGTATCTGCACCGAGCATTTCACGAGGGGAAGATAATTCTAATTAGGTAAGGGGAAAGTTATATATACATATATATATATATATATAACGTCTCGGATGTTCCTACTGCGACTTCTTCGTGTATATTTGGCTTTATGTGTCAGCCTGTTTTGCAACTGTTATATTCGTGACGAATATGATAGTATTATTATAAGATTACGACATTTTTCCACAAATCAGCACAACAGCCTTAATATGCAAAATAAGGTTATGAGGATTTTCTAGTCGCACGCTTTCTTGATTACTTGAAGAAAGGCGGGAACGGAAAATGCGTCGAAGCAAACTGATACGCTCATTTGCGAAAAACGTTTTTTCCCGATGAAATTAGGCACCGTGCAATCATAATTGTGAAACCCACAATTATGAGCTTAATCAATTATGACAGAAGCTGAAGCGACGATACAGAGGCATCCGACATTACAGCTGCAACGGAGCATTCGGAAAAAAAAATTAAGTAAATTAAGAGTAAAAAAGAAAAAAATTTGATGTGCTCGGTCCAGGTATTCTTATGTCACAGCTTTAACGCGAGAATTTGTTAAGAGTGGGTACGTTCAGGCAAAAAAACTTGACGAGGTGACGGACAAGAAGGACGGTTGAACGGATCTCTCGAGTACCGCAATTTGTGCGACGTTCCTCGCGTGACAAAAGATCTGACCGAGATCAACCTCAAAATCCCTCGCGTCGATCAAAAGCTCCCGATTGATTGTCTCGTTTGCTTAAACATCTCAAGTACACTGAATTCTCATCTCCGACGGGCAAAAAATAATTCAACAAAAATAAAAATAACAAAAATCAATTGCGAATCTAATACGACTGCACGATGTATGCATTGCGTTAGGCAGCTCGCATACAAATTCAGGTTGTTACTCTCCCTGAAGAGATGAAGCGAAATTTGTTTCACACGAAACCCGCACGAAGAACGAAGAAACCCGCACGGGTGGTACCAATCTGCTGGCCCAGATCGAGCAATTGTCGCTCCTTTATTATCATTTTCAATTCAATTTTAGTCAAAGAACTTACACACCTAATCAGCTAAAGAGAATAGAGTCGGTCGCGGTAAAACTTAATCGGGACTCGTGTCGTTCGGGATCCACGACATCGCGCGTGCAGAACGCGAAATGAGCGTCACGAGGTAACGGGGAACGCGCGCGTATCGCGAACGGAAGGGAAGAGAGAGTGAAGTCTCCGTTACTCATGTACTGTGCGCAGTTTGCAGTATTCGGTACACGAGGGAACCGATACAACTGCGCAAATCGAGAAGCTCGCACACGCGCTCGTACATCGTCTGAATCTGTTTCACACGCGTCGAGAGGTAGGTTTTCTAATTAACTCGCATAATCGGTAGCCACATCGGCTGCCACTAAAACTCTTCTCTCGCATGTTGCACGATGAATTTGTTAGGCGCGTCGATGGCGTCCGCGTGACGCTTTTGTGAACGAAAGTTTTCCTCTCGAGGCTGCGTAAGCTTCCTATCCGAAGAAATTTGTCGCAGGACAATTGAGTCACTAGACTAATGACCGTGGATCGTTATGATATGCATGAAACAGATTTTAACTTTAACGCGTCTACCGAATTGCATCATGGTGAATCCCATGCAAACGGTATCGTTATTCGGCCGACGAGAGAGTACATATCAAACACGACGCGTGATTGGCAGCGAGAGACGGGTGTTGATCGCTTGACAAAATAAATTCGCGGAAAGTAACAATGAGAATGAGAAAACAGACGACGGAAGTTCGCACGAATAATCGGACGATTCTCTTTGAACCTGCTGCGATTAATCGCGTGAGCCGTCGCTTTCTTGTTAAAAGATCACGGGCGGCAGTAGCCTACTCGCGATTCCAAAGTGATCATCGAAAAGTGTCCGTCCACGAGAACTTCGACGTCGCGACGGGAATGATCGAAGTTTCGCAAGAACTATTCGCTGAACTCTCGTGTAGAAAATAGCAAAGCTAATTCGACAAAGCCCGAAAAGAATGGTCGTCGGTATTCTCGTCGCGATCGACGAGACCTCGCACATCGTTGGTCGTTGATCGGCGATCGCGCGCAGCGAAAGAACGCGCGTAGTTTTATTTACTTTTACACACCATATGTTATACACTCTTTTAGATAACGAAGAGAGAGAAAGATATACTATTTATATATAAAAATCTATATACTTTATTTACAATTGAGATATATATTCTACACTATCGCTATAAGTTTACAACTGTGTAAGCATACTTAGCGTATAAGTATCCGCCTTGTAAATATCCGTGACGACCAGCGCGTCATTTTTAACGGCCTTAAGGCCTGTAAGAGACCTTGCAATCACCTGTTTCCGTTTCTTCGTAATGAACGACGACACGTATCCGTGTAGCCATATCGACGATACGGCTACTTCTCCCGATCGCGTTTTCACTTTCGATCTCATCGTCGGCAACTCGCCCATGTGAAATCTTTGGCGCGGCGCCGACTTTGCAATCCGAATGACTAGAAACGTAACAATAGCCAGGCCCGAGACAACGCATCGAGCGTATAATGTGCGCGGAGAATGTAGGAACGATAAATTGAACCGTGCTTTTCCATCTCGCAGGATAATCAAAGCGATATGCGATTGAGATCGAGATTGAAGAGGCAGCGTGTTATCGAGCCGAATATTTCTCAAACCGAACCACCCCATGTGCATTGTACTTACTCTTATTATTACCTCTTTATCTCTTCTTTGCGATAAATAAATGATTACGATTAAGAGAGAATGCGTAATTTATTGAACGACCCTGTCCTACCGACATAATTAAAACCGGTACGATTTTAACGAGTTTAATCTTGTCTGTTTCAATTTCCAGTGGCAAATTTTGCGACGAATTCAGTAGCAACTTTTTCTCGATCGAAATTTTACAGCACTTCTAAGCCAGTTCGAAAGAAGAAGCAAAGTCCCGACGGTAATCTGTGATACCATTCGCGATTCCATTCGTGTTATCAGAGAATGTGGTAAAGCGCGATTTAAACGGAACAGCGTTAGAATATTTCCGCTGAGAATCAATCGCGTTTGCAGTAGAATTGAGACGTTTCCATTATCACGGAATAACGGAGATAGCTTTCGCTCGTCCGAAATTTGAACGAGCATTGAAATTACACGGTTTCAATCCTTGTTGCAGTGGCGTTGTATCTCGCCGCGAGGAGAGATGCGCGCCGGATAGCGATATTAATTTACGGGCTCGTCAGAGCTTTCCGAAAAATACCCCATTAACTCGCACATACATTAAGTGCTCTTTCTCTGTCGGAGGGCCGCGCTCGAGGAGTCCCTTGGGACTGACTTACGGCGAGTAATTCGCGGCCGGACACGCCCGGCCGACGAGTTATTTAAATATTTTACAGTTTAATGGAGTCCCGGGCCATTAACGGGCGTCAGCTAATTAGTAACGTATCCCGGCGCGTATGAGCGCACGAGCATACACTCTGGAGAAAAAGGGCCGCGCTAACGATCGGCCGATAAATCGAACGTTCGCCGACAAATCGGCTCGCCGATCGGCTCTGACATGCTGCGGCGGATTTAAAACATTCCGGATCGTCCAACACGGAGAATATATTTCGGCGTCTTGGACGACCCCTCTCCCGCCCCTCCGGCCCGTAGATGATAAAAATGTCGGCTGAGATTTTTAAGTAGGCTCTACACTTTCGCGGAATTTTAATTTGCGATTTAATGGGGGAGGAGCGGGATGGGGGATTTTCTTCGGGGGAAAATCGATTTGGGTCCTCGCGTCGAGGAACTCATTAAAATCGACACGCTATTCCACCGCTGTCTTCTCTTTCCTCTTTCCTCCTTTGAACGCGCTTGATAACACAGGGGCACCGGAACGGAAACTCGCGAACACAGACGGACGGGGTAATGCCGCCGGTGAACTGGATTGGAACTAAATGCATTTTAATGATACGTCGCGAGATGCGTCTCTCGGCGATACGACGCGATGACGCTCGATCGATCTCGTGCGCGTTCCAGTTTCCCGAAACTACTAGAGTGCGGCGAGCACCACAACTTCATTGGTCGCGATCGTAAATTCAGCGGGGAATCATGATATTACAGCGGCCGTCGATTGAGAAATGGTAGTAGAAATCGGACGTTGATACTGAGAATTACGCGGCCGCTTTTATCGCGATATATCGGGGCTAGATTGCGAGCGCGTCGCCATGTGCACACGCGGAACGTTATTACGTACTTGGCGATAATCTTAAATGAGTATCAAACTGCACACGCTAAATTACATATTTCGACTGTATCTACATCGCTCGTACATCACAATAATTGTAACGGCGCTGCACTCGGCGCTGTGTAACGGAACGAAAGGTTCCCCCTTCGGTCATTACGTGTCTCGCGAGGTACTTTCCTTCTCAAAGACGATGGCATCGAAGAAAACGCTATTTCTCACTGGGATAATTTGCATCCAACCGCGATACGACTCCACTCGAGAAAATTTCGTCCAATCTCTTTAGCGTTTCTCATTCTTCTTTACTCTCGGCTCATTCGTCGAATGGCGCGTTACTCAAGAGAGAATATTATCTCCCCGTTGTATCGTATCTTTTCTACACCTCTCCAACTTCAACTTTCAACTTTCTCACAAGTACGATAGAAAAAAGCGGTCGCGCTATTCCACGATTATCCCGCGAATATGTCATCCCCGAGCCGAGCCGAGAGCCGTCGCGGAGCTGTGGCGGTCCCGCGCGAACAACGGTGGTAGCTGTCGATCGCTAAATTCATTTCAATGTGAACGGTTATTAGGTGGATAGAGCCGGTGTAAAACGTCGTCGTAATCACCGGTTACTAACTAACTGGCTGTATCTCTTTCCCCTTCCCACCCCCCACCCCCTCCCCGCTCTCCGCAGCCTGCTACCGCATCCTCTCGCGACGCGCGCGTGTATATACGCGGATTCGACGCCGCGGGCACCGTCGATACTGTTTACACCGTAGTAATTTGCTAATGGCCAGACCGACACGATGAATTCGGGATCGGGTTAGCTTGCGTGGTCTGCATTCCCGATCGACGCGGCGCGGCGGGATCGACGACGCGGCCCGAGTGATCGAGGATCGATCACGCAGGAGCAGGAGCAGGAGGAGGAGGAGGAGGAGGAGGAGAAAGAGGAGGTGATGTTGGAACGCCTCTACCGACCGATCGTGCCAGCGTCTCGCGTTCGTCGGCGTATTACCGATCTATTCCGAGCCGCAATTTGCGTCGATTATCCCTTTCGTTTACCGTGACCGCTTATCGGCCCGCTCGCATTTTCGATGATAACCTCGCGCTGAGACGAGGCAACGAACTCGCGTTTGCCTACGTCGCGCTTTTCACTACATGTTCTTTCCGCGTGTGACATTTTTCTCGAAGTATGAAGTATACCCGAGAATGCGTTACAAAAGTTAAGTAAATAGATAGATAAATAGAGAGAGAGAGAGAGAGAGAGAGAGAGACCGATTTGAATCAAGGATATCGTTTACAGCGGGACACCGAATACCGGAGTACCGGAGTAGTACTTGAAAATGATAAGTAATGAAAAAAATTTGACGCATCTCTTGCGCTTTCATTCGATTTTGAACGCATGTTAGTGTAACTGTAATTGGAATTTAAGATGGATTCTCCTCAGAGAGCGGGAACAGAAAAGGTGTTCGCACAATTATTCGCGACGAATCGACGACGTTCGATCTTTCCGTGCCGATAAATCCGCGAAATCGAACGCTCGACAGCGGCGCTTCATCTAAATGCTTCTCGTTATTTTTTCTATTTCTCTCTCCGTCTTTCTCCTCTCTCTCTCTCTCTCTCTCGCATCCTCGCGCGCAGCACGCGCAAGGCTTTATCCGGTTAACAATCCCTAATTACGGGGTTCCTCGTAACTAACTCGGTTAACGTGGAGAGCCCCCTCGCCCCGATTACCCCCGAGCCGCTCGGTGCTCGCCTATCATCGCGATGGATGCAGATTAACCGGTCGCCCCGATCTCTCGGAACCCTCGCTTTAACTTCCCGGCACCGGCTTCCTTCGTTCGCCGATGCATTCGATTTCACGTATCCTGCCATGCCGCCTCTCTCAGGATGGGCCGACAAGTTTTAATAACTCGTTACAAAATTTGTTAAACCGAGGCGAGGATGCGGCCGGCGGTTAAGTGCCCGTAAGCGAAATGTTGAAATTGGGATAAGAGAATGTAATATTAATAATAATAAGTATGTAGAAAGAAAGAGAGAGAGAGAGAGAGAGAAAGAGAGAATAATTTACTCTCGTCGGTTGAAATTTTCCATTCCGATCTCTGCTGTTTGTAGAATTGGAATTAAGAAGATCGAGATGGAATTAAGAAACTGTATGAGATATATAAGATGATGTTCGGTCGAGCGTGTGGAAAAATTAGCTTCGAATTGCTCAAAGGATCCGCAGATGACGAGGTACGAGAATGGGCATTCGTCCTTATTCCAAGATATAAGTAATCATTCCACAAGAATATTCACGAGTCGTCTAAGCACACGTACACTCGTATGTGCATGCACTCGTGTAATACGACATGAAAGTAAGTACGGGTTACGTGGGACAAGAGCTGTGTATATCGTGCGACCGCTCGTCGTCGAGATTGTTTCGCGGAATACCGCGCGCGAGGTATGTATATTGCAGAATTTTAAGCGATACCTCAATCCCCGAGCGATTAAGGTGTTACAATGACGTATTTTATGCCGCGTTTCTCGCAGGCGACCACTATTTACAGGCGTGAGATATTTACAGATTGGAATGAGGCGCGACGGCCTGCCAAAAATGCGCGGAGGTGCGACCGGACGACCGCTACATTGTAACAGGGTGCTTATTCGCCGGTGATCGAAACAAATTCTCGATCGCACCTGATCGCTCAAGTTACTACGATAATATCGTGCCAGCACGGCGACGGCGGATCGCGCTTCTCGTTTACGAGCGGGATTAATTTCGGGGGCTGTTTCACCACGCGGAAATTTAATCGGCAACAATGAGATAATGAGCAGGAACGGGCCCAATATAACGTTGCAGTATGTAATAATGCGAGATTACATTATATTATACGTAATATGGTGTCAAATCTCATGTGGCGAACAACGGATTCCGCATGGTTTGCTTGCAAACTAAGAACACAGTTCTTTTTCGTCAGAAATAAATTCTCAGAAATATCCGCTGCCATTTTGTTGGAAATGCTGATGGAATCATGCCAAAAAAACGCATTTGGTAGTCGTTCGATTAAGTTACGTCGAACCGATCGTGCCAAATTGAAAGAAGTACCCGATCATTTTGATAACAACGATAAATCCAAGTATCATAAAATTCGGAGTAGCAACCTTCTTCCCCGATTTTCCATTTAGATTTTATTCGACTAGTCAGATATCAAATTTACTTGTAAAGTTTGGCCGACAGAGGATACTTCGTCAGGTTTCAACTACATAATCACTCGTTAGTCTTTAATTAGAAGAAATACGGAGTCTGATTATTTCACGTGGATGATCGCGTTATCGAAGCCGCGCGTATATTTGCAAGATGAAACCCACCAAAATTGCACGGCCCAGAAACCGACAATTTTTCGACTAATTCGCATACATACGCGCGCCTCTGCCGAAATCCGGCCGCTTATCTCGTAATAAGACCCAATGTGCGCTCGCCTCCCTCCCCCCGCGTCAGAATCCGAGGCAAGACGAGGACGGGAATGGTGCGGCGCGGTGGAAGACGAGATCGACGGCAAGGATGGAAGCGACGAAGGGGAGAGGTG